ATCTATTTTTTTTTTTTTTTTTTTTTTTTTTGCTGTATTTTATAATGGCGGAGAAGAATTCACTCTTATATCGTCTCCCCGCTTCGTTTTTTAATCATTTTTATTATTATATATTTTTTATTTATCTATTTTTTTCTGTATTTTTATAATGGCGGAGAAGAATTCACTCTTATATCGTCTCCCCGCTTCGTTTTTTAATCATTTTTATTATTATTATTTTTTTATTTATCTATTTTTTTTTTGCTGCTGTATTTTATAATGGCGGAGAAGAATTCATCTTTATATCACTCGTTAGCTTCGTTTTTTAGTCATTTTTTATTATTATTTTATTATCATTATTATTTTTGGCTGTATTTTATGATGGCGGATTCCTTCCTAAATAAATATCATACGTAATTACGAATGAATGAAGATATCTGTTTATGGTTGTGATAATGATACTGTTACAGTGATTTACATTCATACTATTCTTTATTATTTTTATTTTTGCCTTTGCATGGGTCGAAATAATCGAGCAAAAGAAGAAAAATAATGATGATAACATTGAAAAAAAAAACATGAATATAGATATATCCGTGGAAACTCATACTTCCGGTATATATGTAAACTTTAAGTGTTTTACGTAGACACCAACCAGATGGCGAGGAGGGGAAGGGGGGGAGGGTGTGAGGGCGGAAGGAGTGAGAGGAAGGTCGAGGAGGGTGGTGCTTGTGATTTATGAGACTCATATCTCTATGCGGTCTATATCGTGGAGGGGGAAGCGCGAAGCTGGGGGGAGGGTGTATCATGAAGGGGGTAATTTTGGGCGGGGAGGGTTGCTGCAGTTTTGTACTATTCCTACTTTGATAAGGAGTCATCTTAGTCGGTTAATCATTATTGTGAGGGGGAAGTGTGTCGATACCGGGAGGGTGTTGTGCAGCGCGTGGAAGGGAGGTGGAAGGTGTTGTGAGAGGAGAAAGGGTAGGAGTGTTGTGTGACATGTTTCTGGGAACGGGGGAGGGTGTGTTGACGGTTGATTTGTCATTTTCCGTCTGAGATATATAGGGGGAAGGGGGTTGGGAAGGCGGTAGAGTGGTGTCGTGGGATGAGGGGAATGAGTTATCTTGCTCATAATGTGGGGTGAGGTGGGTGTGGGTATTGAAGTGGGTAAGGGTGGAGGTCGTGTCGTGAGAGGGGGGAAGATGTAGGGGAGTGGTGTTTCACCTTGTTATGAGGGCGGAACTGGGTGGCTCTGAGGGCTTGTGCTGGAGCGGATAGGGGGAGGGTCTTATTGTGTGAGGGGTAAGGAGGTGGAGGGTGTGTGAGGCGGGAGCGGACGGAAGGGAGGAGGAGTGTGTTGACGGGCGAAAGCTGGGGAGGACTTGTTTGTGAGGAGGGAAAGGCGGGGAGAGGGGTTCTGGTTCTATATCGATGAGGGGGAAGGGGGTAGGGTGTATACGCATTATTACGTCGTGAGGTGGGAAGGGAGGGAGGGTTATATGAGGTTACAAAATCTGTCATTGAATCAGTAGTGGTCTTGTGCACAGGGGGAAGGGGGTAGGGTATGGAACCACAATAATCTCGTAATACAGTTTACTTTTTCTTTTTTTATTTGTTTTGTTGCGTTTTCATTTTCCGCGGTATTAGGGTTTTACTTTTTCTTTTCCTCATTTTTGATGGGTTATGTTGTTTTTTTTTTCTTTTGTGTAGGTTGGCGTTTTGGCGATTTAAGGGGGTTCAAAGAGAGACCAGAGCCATGGAATGGTAGAGGCTAACATGATGATGACGGGGAAGAGGAGAGGCAGGGCGTGTCGTGAGCGCCTGGGTAAGAGTGAGGGTATATATCAAGGTGCGATATGTTGTTGGTTGAGGAGGTAAGGTGGGGATTAGCGAGTGATGAGGGGGGATAAGGGACGGCGGAGGGGTGTACTGCAAGGGGAATGTGAGGAGGGTGTGTTGAAAGGGGGTAAGGGGGGGAGCGGTGTGTGTGGAAGCACGGCGAAAGTGGGAGTGTGTACTGAAGGGCGGAAGTGAGCGAAAGGAGTAACATTTACTATTGTCGGCAGCGAAGGGATGAAGGAGGGCAGGGTGTAAATGAAAGGGGAAGTGAGGCGAGGGTGCTAGTTGAGGAAGTGGTGGGAAGGGTTGTATGAAAGGGGGAAAAGGCGGGGAGGGGGTGTGATGGACAAACGGTAGGTGGGGAAGAAGGGTGTGTGAGGGGAAGGGGCCGAGGTGTATTTATGAGGGGGAGAGTGGGGAGGGTGTGTCGATGAGAGTGGAAAGGGGTGGGTGAGGGTCCGACATGTCGACGATGAGATACTATAGACAACCGGTTATTGTAGAGGGGGAAGGGGGGAAGGAGGGTGTGGTCCGGAGGGGAAGTGGAGGATCGAGGGTGTGTGAGGGGGTATAGGGGCGAAGGGTGTGGTGGAGGGGGTACATAGGGGAGGGTGTATGTGAAGGAGGCGATGTGGAGGAGGTGTATTGGAAGGGGAAGTAACGAAGGGAGGGTGTGTGTGGG